ACGGCCTAGGTCGCTAACGCGCTATCTAAAAAAAAGGTCGCTAGCGCGCGCGCCAAATAGGAGAAGCCAGCTGTATACATGCTCTTGCCTCAAAAAAAGAAAAGAAAAGAAAGCTGTATACCTGCTCGCCCCGACACACTGTCTGCTGCTGCCGTGACCAGCAACAAGTCTTGGTCTTTCTTTCAAGAAAAACCAAGTCCTGGTCTTCCACCCCACCCACCCCGGCTGGCCACTGCTGCTCGCTGCCTTGAGGAAGGACCTGCCGGATCCGCACCTCGCCGCCGCCAATCCAGCCGCCGGCCGCTGCCCCGACCTCGAGGTGAGGGCCCAACCAGCGTCTCCTCAACTTATCAGCGCCCCTCCATTCTTCTCTTCCTACGCTACTACTACTAGCTCTCTTCCGTTGTGGTTGTGGCCCAATGACCCACCCACCCGAGATCTATCTTCTGCTACTAGCTTACTACGTACTACTACTACTACGAGTTTATCTACGAAGCTCATCTCCTAATGTACGAGTTTATCCTGTCGCAGATATGGATGTATCTAGATGTATTTTAGTTCTAGATACATCCATTTCTGCGACGAGTAATTTGGAACAGAGGGAGTAGCTCACTGTCGCTGTAAATTTCTACTTCTCCTAAGGAGTTCCGAGGTTCTGTGATTCTTCTTTTGTTAACCTGTCTGTCTCTAGTAGATTTACAAAGTTGAATCTTACCTAGAAAGAAAAGCAGCATATCCCGATGCTTGAAGACAAATAACAATCCTCATTATCACAGAAAGTTTTGATTTCTTGAACAAAAGCACAAATCATTTTGTCACATTCATGTTGGTTTCTGGACATTTGCTGCGACTTTTTAAACCACGGGGTTCTTTTCTCTGTATGGCATGCATTTGCATTATTCACAGGCTGACCACATTTCCAGTGGCCGACAGTTTGTAAAGAAGCAGTGTAGCCAGGTTCAGTCCACACTCAGTATGTACGGTAACAAAGGAAAAATTCTGAGATTACACATATATACAGTAAAAAAATATGAAATAAAAAAAATCTCAATGGACGTAACTCATTTCATTAGTTTGCTCTCATCAGAGATATATATACAGTGGCCAATTTAACTTGCATTTGATTTACATGTGTCTCCAACAGTTTCAGTGGGAGCGGAGCAATGGGCGGAGGGCTAGCATCGTTTTGGGAAGAACGGAACATCCAGACACTCTGGTGATCCTCAGCTTCGCCCTTCAAGCCATCCTCCTCTGCTGCGCAGGGATCCGGCGTAGTCGAGAAGCCTCGGGTGTGCTCAGAATCCTCCTCTGGCTGGCCTACCTGATGGCCGACTACACCGCAATCTACGCCCTTGGCCACATGTCCATCACCATGAGCAGGAGCAGGTCTCCTCCAGGTCCAGCCGACCACCAGGTGCGGATGGTGCCATTCTGGGCTCCCTTCCTGCTGCTCCACCTTGGCGGGCCGGACACCATCACCGCCTACGCCTACCAGGACAACCAGCTCTGGTTGCGCCACCTGCTCACGCTCGCGGGGCAGGTGCTCGGCGCCATCTATGTCATGTACCTCTTCGTCGCGCCCGGCAGGAGCCCGGCTGGGACGTTGCTCGCCGCCGCAGCGTTGATGTTCGTCACCGGCTGCCTCAAGTACGGCGAGAGGACGTGGGCGCTCAAGTGCGGCGGCATTGACAGCATCAAAAAGTCCCTCGATGACGACGGCAAGTCGTCGGCCACCGGTGGCCCTTACCATGGGAGGGAGGGGGCAAAGAGGCTGGACACGGAGGAGGTCCTGCTGGGGGCACACCACATGCTCAATTTCTGCAAGGGCCTCCTGGCTGATGGCCCGGTGATGCAGAAATCTGAGTACGAAGTCATGCGGCAAGGCATCCAGCTCAACGGCGGCAACTACGTATTCCATCTGGCCGCTATGGAGCTCTCCCTCCTGTACGACATACTCTACACCAAGGCGGCGGTGCTCCACACCTGGCATGGCTTGTGCATTCGGATTGTCGCGCCGCTCTCCATGGTCGCCGCGTTTGTGCTGTTTCAGCTCAGTAGCAAGGACGCCTACAGCAGGGCTGACATCGCCGTCACCTACGTCCTGCTCGTGGGAGCCATGGCATTGGAGCTCGCGTCGTCTCTCAGGGCGGCAGGGTCTTCCTGGGCGTGTGCGTCCTACCATGCCCGGGGATGGCACTGGCTCTGCGACATGGTGATGCGCCTCCGCCGAATGCTCAAGGTTGGAGCAAGGAGGAGTGCCTCCCTGGACTCGCTTGGGCAGTACAACCTGCTGGACCTCTGCACCGACGCCAACAAGGACGGCCACCTGAGAGGCAAGATCGCCAAGATGATTGGACTTAAGGACCGGTGGCAGAAGATGCACTACTCGAGCACCGCCCCCGTCTCCGACGCCATCAAGACTCTGGTGCTGAGAGAGATCAGGAAGAGGAAAATAGATGATCTGAGGAATGCACGGGGCAGGTGGATCCTCAAGGAGAAAGAGATGTACGAGGATCTCACGCGGATCGCCGACGACACCGAGCTTGACCGTAGCATCATGGTGTGGCACATCGCCACCGATCTCTACCTCTCCATGTGCCCTGGCCCTGACCCTGACCCCGACAAGGAGGTCCGGGACAGCATAAGGGTGCTCTCCAACCACATGCTGTTCCTCATGGTGGTGCATCCCTACCTGTTGCCCGGAGTCGTTCGCACCGGCCGGTACAAGGAGAACTTGAAGTACTATGATATGGTGTGGTGGGTTAATTTGAAGGCCACCAAGGAAAGCACCATGAAGCTGTCCAGATCGGAGATCATCAACAAGATAGCCGACTGGCAGCTCCCGACCGATTCGAGGCAGGAGTACATTTACGGCATCGGCGAGGAAGCTGCTGACGACGTTGGTGACAGGCCGGTCTATGCGGACGGATCCTGGCTCGCCGGGATGCTGCGCGGGAACAGGTGGCACTTGTCCGCTGCTGACATGCTGGAGGTGATCGCCGGCGTGTGGGTGGAGATGTTGTGCTATGCGAGCCACCACTGCGGTGAGGAGTCCCACGCCAAGAAGCTAAGCACCGGAGCAGAGTTCATGAATGCCATCTGGCTTATCATAGGGCATTGCCATGGTGTACGACAGATACGCACCGTCTGCTGAGGGCTTGACAGGGGGTTTAGGGCTTAGCAATCCTCCGCGCAAGCGGAAGATCCCTGCCAGATGGATGCAGCAGCCGGAGGCGGACGTAGGAGCCCGACCGCCTGGTGTACCACCCGGTGTTCACCAGGTTGATGTTGAAGCACGCCAAACACCGAGCACATGCGCAAAGACATCACCAATAAAACCAATACGTGAGTTGTGTTACTCCTGTTAATAATTTTATTAAGAGATGCAAGTGCCACAAGTTCATAGATCCCCCCACTCTTATATATCCAAGTGATTCAACAGCGCTGGGCTCTACTGCATGTGGTATTCCTCCCGAGGAGCTCTCGGCGCCAAAGCTTCTCCAGGCTCCAAGTGGATGTTATGGTGCTTCTTCTTCACGCAAGATCTTCTTCAGTGCCCTTGTAGTTTATTATTGTGTTATCTGTGTACTAGAACTCTATTTAAATTCTGAACTTCTCATGGAGTCAACTCTTATGGAATATTTTGTGTTGGAATGTGAAAGGATTAAACTCTGAGAATAACTAACTTGTGTTTCGTAACAAATTGGATGAATCGGTATGCTCGATTGTTTGTTTGCAATAAACTAAGAAGGGTGATTTTGATCATTCGTTCATTAGGAAGTGTTGTTCCAGATGATTTGATAAATTTGAATTCATGCCTTCCAATGGAGCATCGGGTGTGAGATTGGTCTCTCATCAGCTTAATAAGATCATTAACTCTCCTTTCATTTGCCATGTGTGTTCTCAAAGTTTCCCAGCAAGGTGATTGAGTTGTTTGATCGTGCTAGAAGGCATTGTTTATGGAGAAAGGTTATGGATCGCGAAGCTTGTACGCATTCGTTAGCTGCCTGGGAGCTAGTATGTCGACCGAAGCAGAAAGGGGGGCTGGGGATTTAAAACATCAAAGTGCAAAATTAAGCTCTTCTTCTGAAGTTTATTCATAAATTCACACATAAGGCTGATGTCTTGGGTCATGTTGTGGTTTAAATATTATGATCAGACCCCGCATGCATTGCATCCCTGCAACTCCTTTTGGTGGAAAAATGTGTTCTCCTGGACATCTACAGGGGGATCGCCACATGTATTCCTGGCTCTGGTGAAACCATTCTGCTCTAGAAAGATGCCTTGGATAGTGGGGTGATTTTGCAGGATAGTATACCATATTTGTTCTCCTTCTCCACCAATGAGGATGTTTCTCTGGCTCAATTTCTAGAAACTGATAAGTTTGATTTTTTTCAGAATTTCAGACTCAAGGGAGCTCGGCCTCCAAAACACCCTAAGCCATAAGTAAACAGCTGACAACACTAGAATGTACAACTACACAAACACATGAGGTGCTTCTAAGACAAAAGATGAACCTGAATTTCGTGTCAGAAACTGACCAACTGGAACTGTAGTTGTATTTTCAAAATTATATCAGCTTTCGCAATCTAACTGTCTTTTAGTGTCCTCCGTGGAATGGGAAAGCAAGGCAAAATGTTCAGGGAGCCCAATATTAACATTTCACAAAGATGAACAAAACTCGTGCACCGAGAACAATCCTTTCACACTTCAGGAAGTGGAGACTAGCAAACACAAACTTCATTGTTGATCTCTAGATTTAGACGATTTGCGGACCTTATCACAGGCAGCCACCAGACTAAGTCGTTTTTTGAATATAACCAGCTTGAAGATGGATTGTTGGTTATTATTACCTCCTCAAATGTTTATGGCTCATTTCTGAAGGTCAATTTGTTCTCAAACTCACAACATTGTCTCCTCGTATCATTCATCTCCATAACTCTGAACATATGTATGAGGATGAAAAAAATGACCTGCTAATAAGCCTGCAGCTCCTTAGCTTACTTCTCGACGAACGATTCGACTGTCTTCAGCCACTGGAGCATCTCCATCTTCTCCTTGTTCGCAACGTAGTCGTGCAAGAACTCCGCAAGCTCGGCATCCACCTCCCTCTCCTGCAGGAACTTCTTCACCGCCTCCCTCTCCGCAGGCTCCAGCTTCCTGCGGCTCGAGATCAGTGACAGCGAAAAAAATTCAGAAAGCACAGAAACCAGAGTACACAGCCAAAATGGACTGAACAAAACTAGACCGTACGTGAAGTCGCGGGCACCGCGGTCGTCGGTGGCGGCGCCGGTGCCCCTGAGGGTGAGCACGTGGCGGACGGCGAGTTGGTCGGGCCAGGCGGAGCAGATGAATCCCAGTACGCGGTCGGCGCGGGCCACCTCGACGATGAGGCTGAGGTGGAGGCGCGGCCCTTGCTCGAGCGCCTCGACCCGGTTGAAGAGGGACGCGTCGGGGGGCAGCTCCGCGACGCCGTCGAACAAGGTGGCGTCGATCTTGATGGCCTCCTCCCCGGCCCCGGCGCCTCGGCGGGCGGCGCGGAGGCGCACCCACTGCTCCCCCGGGCGGTCCTCCACGGCGAAGGATTTGAAGCCCGTCGGCGGCTGCGAGGGGACGGCGGGCGAATCAGACGGGGAGATCACGTGCGGTAGAAAAGGGCGAGGAGTGAGGGGGAGAGGGGCGGTACCTGGTGGGGAGGGCGGCGGTCGGCGACGTAGGAGATCTCGGAGCTCAGGAGGCGGAGCAGGCGTTCGTCGAGCGGGGAGCGCAGCGACGCGAGGGAGGAGGCGGCGGCGGAGGAGAATGACGGGACCAGCCTGGGCGCCGTGGGGGCGGCCGGCGAGAGGAGAGAGGGGAGCGCGCCGCGGTGGCGGAGGAGGGCGCGCGCCATGTGCTCGACTCTTTGCCTGGACGACAGGAGCGCACCGGGGAATGGATGCGATCGGCGCTAGGAAATGGGCCAGGCCCTGACGCATTTGGCGCGTCAGCAGGCCCCCAGATTGTTATTCTAGCCCAGCTGTGGTTTCACCCCCACACGGGTCTAAAAGAATATATTCATTCTAATCATATGAGGACTAATAAAATTAAAAATATTCTCCCTCTGTTTTTATTTACTTTGCATATTAGCTTTGAATGAAGTCAAATTTTAGAAAGTTTGACCAAGTTTGTAGAAAACAAAATAAACATTTACAGTAAAAAAATTATATGATGTGAAAATATATGCAATGATGAATCCAATGGTATTGATTTGGCGGTGTATATGTTAATACATTTTTCTACAAACTTGTTAAAAGTATATAAAATTTGACTTTAGACAAACCTAATATGCCGAGTAAATAAAAACGTAGGAAGTATATGATTTGCTGAATTAATTATTGAGGTGGGTCTTTGACTATGCATGTTGGCATGCTCGTCGTGTTTTTTTTCATGCATGCTTGCATGTTGAGGTGGCATGCATGCATATTGAGAGAAATAGATTAATGGGGTTCATTATTTAGTTATATATTTGCCTAAAAAACTATTTAGTTATATATATCCTACAACTAAAATAAAATCAAAATCAACAAATTATATAAATTACAGTTTCAAAGTCTCATATTTTTAATCAAAATACTAATGTTCATTTAACTAAGTCTGGCCGAAATAATTGCAGGCAATTCTTTAGCAACACATGGAATATAATTTCTAGTGTATATCTTTTTTTGTTAGATTTATACACACTGGTAACCTTCTACAGTTCTGTAGATATTCTAAGACTAGTACAAACATGGGCACTTATAAAATGCATATAATACATTCAGATACCTAAGTTATTTTTAGAACAATATGGTAGCTTTTTATCCGCTTAAAATTACATTGAAATCCATCGTAAAATAATTTGAACAATGCAAACCGAATTACTAAAATGTAATAATTTACCAAAAACTATTTTTCCTACTTAGCATAATTTTTTTGTAACAATAAATATTAGAATTGTATGACATATCTCTATCTCAACATACATAAGTGTGGTTATTGTTATACTATTAGTTGTGTTAATTATTTCACAAAACAAAGATTTAAGATAATTTTTCAGATGGTGAATCTAAAATAGACCACATACATTTAGTGGTAAGAGTTAGTTTTGGGAAATAAAAAGATTAATATAAAGAGGTTACAACGGTTGTTTTTAACTAATTTATGCCATAAAAATAGTTGTATTGCCTAGACGTATAGAGAAGGGAGAAAAAAGCATGGAGCCAGATCAATCTCCTATCCTCGCGCTGATAATACTCCTTTATGAAAAAAAACCCGGATGTAATCATTGGTTTCCTAAATGGCAGCAACCTTCGAGAGACCACTATAGAGTTGTCATTATTTACATGAGAGTGAACACCTTGCACGCAGCGGTAGCTAATCGTAGTTATTTAGTCGGTCGTGCACCGCGAGGTGATCCGTGCAATAGAATTTGCCAAAAAGAGAAAAGTGGACATATATCGCTTGATAGCAGCAAATACAATGCACACGTCGGTCTGGTGGACTCGGCTACGATACTATTTTGACGCGCAAAGGGACCTGTCATGCAGTGTGGGTAATGCGTTTTAATTCGATGCGGCAGGGCGTGGTTGAGGATTGAGTTTATTATTTCGATGGCGGTGTATGTGTTTTTTGACCGAGTGGGCATTGCCAATTATGCCTCTGCACACCTGAATGTAAAAAAAAAAATCGTCGATGGGTGGTACACGTAGTACATAATAGCCCGAATAATTAGAGCAGATAATTGAAGATTAGTTGTCAACACGATTACAATAGTTCTACTGCACCAAGTGTGCACACAGACCTGCTAATTGCACAACCTATAATTTCAGTTATAATTTTTTTTCTCCATCAAGCTCTTTGGCGTCGTCATGGGTGGTACACCCTCTACGTTCCGTACTCTCACTTGCGCACGTACAGTGCTCTTGCAGCAGCGTGTCAGCTCGTCCGACAGTGTGTGGTCCTTCGAATACAACAACACGGTGCATATTGCTCTCCAACGAATCGCGACGTAGTGCGCGCCATCGATGCGCTGCGTGCAGATGCGACTGCGTGTAGCGATGCACTTCTCCTGTTTTCTGCCAAGAAACATGCAAACCGTAGTAGAAAGATTCAGCAGAAAAACTATTTACTAATAACAACTTTAAAAATAAAACACACACTTGTTAGCAAGACACAAGCAAGACACAAAAGAAAAAGTTGTTCCGGGATTGCAACAGGTAAGCCTCCATCACAAGGTCGCAACACAAACGCAAACGCAAACACGACTAGTCCTTGCGGTCAATCGGATTCGGATCTTGGGGTGTGTAGATGGCGTGTTTGTATATTGCGCTCACGTTGTCACATGTATTGGTTGCAGGACATAGCACATCTACATGGGTTCAACCTATTGATATCAGTTTTGGACCAAATTTACTTACGAAGGCCCAATCGTTTATATTGTACCTAATTAAATAAAGAGGAGGGCATGAAAAAACAAAACATGATATGGCCACTCTCGCTCCACACACTGAATCTGAATGCCACACATTTCAAATGAGAAAGACAACATGAGGACTTTACAGGAGGTCAATTCGTCAATCGTTTTTTTTTAAACTCAATTTTTCAATCTTGGCTAAGTAGGAGTCTCTCCTGTGTAATTATCGTGTGAGTTCCCTTGTCTTGTGACGACGAGACACCCCATCACCACAGCGACAGCTGCTCCGGCAACGACGATCCACACCAGAGCAGTGCGGAGACGGGTCCCTCGGTTAAGCACAGCAACTCGGATCTGCACGATGCTCGTGCCAACAGAGAAGGTGACGGTGAGCAGGGCGACGACCTCCACCGCAGTGAAGGCGATGACGATGTCATCGACCGGCGAATGGTCAGACAGGGGCCTTACAATGGCTTCGATCCACAGGGAGTGGCCGAACAAGAGGTTGGCAACAGTGATCACGAAGCGAATGTGAATGTCCATGGCCAATTATGCTTGCACAGATGATGGGGGTCGATATATAAAAGCTCAGTTAGTCGCCGGACCAGGAAAGAACAAACGCAAACCGCCGAACCTGCATCTGCATCGATCACTACACTTCCGCCGTCGTTGCCTCCGCTTTCTGTCCGCTTGTGCGTACACCACCGGTGTGGTCGCCAGCCTGCAACCAACAATACGAGCTTGCCGACCCAGCGTGTATACAGTTTAAAATTCGCTTTGGAATCCACAAGCAGGAGTAATATAGAACCGTTACTCACAGCAATTCACAAGTCAACTGCTACCGAAGCCAGACTGCTCTCGTTTATCGTGTTAGCGTTTTTTGTCCCTGTTTTGTACTGCTTTTTTTTTCTTTCTCTGGACGATCATTGTTGACCTGTTGTTTGTATGTTTTGTGCACCTTTTGACTTTCTGCTTCCGCTGTTGCATCTGTGGTGGCAGGTTCGCGAGAGCCTTAAACGCGCGTGAGTTGTGCTGGTGCTATGGGCGCGTTGGAGGGGAGAAGTTAGGGCATGCACAATGGTTGATAGGATGGTCTTATCTTAAATCTTGCATGTAATTTGGAGATGACAAAAAAGTAAGTCTGTAATGAGTTATATCTTAGCCTTATCTTCAATAACTTGTCATTCCTTAAAATATGATGAGACAAATTGTGCTAAGAGATCATCTATTATCTTCTCTTAAGGGCATGTACAATGGTTAATAAGATAGTCTTATCTTAAGTCTTGCATGTAATTTAGAGATGATAAAGAAAAATGTCTATAATGGGTCATCTTTTAGCCTTATCTTCAATAACTAGTAAATTCCTAAAAATATGGTGAGACATATTGTGCTAAGAGATCATCTCTTGTCTTCTCTTAAATAAAAAAAGACAAACCTTTTCTTATGAGTTCTCTCTCCTCCACCTTATCATTTATCCTACGTGGCAGTGCTAAGATAGCACCGTTGTACATGCCCTCAAGAGAAGACAAGCCTTTTCTTATGAGTTATCTCTCCTCCACCTCATCATTTGTCCTACGTGGCACTTCTAAGATAGCACCATTGTACATGCCCTAACACACCAAGCCGGAGAACCGGCGGGACAAACGTAGAGCCGAACACAGCCAAATTGTCATCGGACAATGTCATCATGTAGGCCTTCAACAGGGCCGGTCCTGAGATTTTGGAGGCCTGGGGCGAGACCAAAACTTGGGGCCTTTAATGTAGACATCATAACAATAAAAATTAATATGCATACGTATGAAATATTACCAATAACATTTAAATGCATCCAAAATTAGTATATATATCGAATAATTTATACATATTACCTACAAATGTCCTAATCCATCATATGCTCAGGATATCTGATTCCTGCTAATGGTAGATTGAAGATCTTATAGTAGAAGCAAAAAACTTTGTCGACATTTTTGGAATAAACTCCTACTAACTAGACTTGAATATCTTACAACAGAAGCAAAAAGCTTTGTCAACATCTTTTGAATAAATGATTCATTTTTTTATCATGTTCCTCCCCACTGCTTAATTTCCTATGATAATGAGCATATGAAAAACGTCTTTCTGCATCGTCTAGATGGTATGCCATTTTTTGTCTTCTCTCTTAGACACTTTCTCAACTAAGATGTATGTTGTTTTTTATCAAGATGATCCCAAATTTTTCTTCATAAATATCAGTAGTATAAACTGGTCGTTCATGATCACTAGCTGACTGTGCATGTACATCCAATGAACCTACATGCTCAGAGCCACTTACGTTGTTGTTGTTGTTGTTGTTGTTGTTGTTGTTGTTGGTGGTGGTGGTGGTGGTGGTGGTGGTGTTGTTGATATTTTCTTCTCGCTGATCAAATTCCGATTTGCCATTAGTTTGTTGCCCCTCCTCTATGGCAACTATGCAAACTCTC